ACCTAATTTGGGCCACTGAATAGGAATATCGCACGTTTACAAATATAGAGATGTAATTCAAAATTTACGATTTTGGAGAGTTTAACATACAATTAATAAGCTTGATAAGAAGAAAATGCTCAGATTAAAGTTGGGATCCCACTATTGGCGCAAATAGCACAATATGTATCGATTTTCATCGTACTTGATTGGTACATGTTTAAAAAATTTGTACAACTACTTTTTGGGTGGTCCCATTATCATCGCATATTGTCACATTGTGCTTTGTTAATAATAACAATAAATAAATTGTCGACTTTGATCGCGGCATTAACGCCCGAGTGTTCACAATATCGATGCAGCAATATTAATTTTGTTTGCTAAAAGTCAGCACGATTTCGGCTCAAATTGGCACATTTCGAAAAATTCTGTTTGTTTAAACTATTGGTACATGAAATGGGCCGAAAATCGGCTCATTGCGCCCATAATGGGATCTTAGCGAATATATTTGTCTTTCTCTGTCTTTTGGTATACCAATTATATGAATTTATCAAACTTTGATTGCGCTTTACCACAAAATTAAAACTTTAAAATAATTCTGTATACGTGCGATATGAACTCCTTTATTTTTTAAAAACAAAAAAAAAACGTAACTCAGAAAAACATACGTTTTTCGATCAAAAGCGTTTATTACAGTTAAAGTAGGGTCGAACACTGGTAATCTGACGATTTTTTTTGCGCAGTAGTATATTTTTTTCAATACTACGAGAGTACTACTTTTTGATATACTACAACAACAAAAAGATTATCGTTAGGACAACCAAAAATATGCTCGAGCATGTTGGTTTTCTTATGTATACTTTATCACAAAATGCATAAAAAGAAAATGCTGATTGTAAAAAGATAAAGCGTTTTAGCCATATTTGTTAGAGCATATTTGCAAATGAACAACAGCATTGAAACTAGAAGCACATATACAGGCAGGTTCTGCAACTTACTTCCGCGGGAATTTCAACCCCTTGCAATATGAATTCGAAGTGGCTTTGGCTGAAACTCACTCGGAAGTGAATTGCAGAACCTGCCTGATAGAAATTGTTAACAGTGCTGAAGAAAAATTAAACGCCGTAATTTTTTAAGCTAAAATCAGTTTTTAGCGAAAAACAGGGCTTTGTTGTAATAAAAACTACTGTAGGCCAAATTGAATCCGGTAATTCAATTCATCTGATTGAAAAATATACAGTGACTAAAATTTCTGCCTTAAAGTTCGTGCCTTTTCCATGTTTAAGAATGTATTCCATGATAACAGTCAATCATTGCTTTCTGAAAATTTATCCGAATCTTTTGTTATTTATTGCCACAAAAATATTTAAGTTATTTTTATTTCTATACATATATAAGTGTGTGGTGTAGTGGTAAGCAGTGCGCGCTTCCACTCCGCAGCACCTGGGTTCAAGCCCTAGTCAAAACAACATTGCAAAAAATATAGAAAACAGGTTTTTTCTTAACAGCGGTCGTCCCTCGGCAGGCAATGGCAAACCTCCGAGTGCATTTCTGCCATGAAAAAACAGCTTCTCATAAAAATACAATCGCCGTTCGGAGTCGGCGCAAAACTGTAGGTCCCTCCGATTTGTGTGACAACATCAAGGCGCACACCACAAATCGGAGGAGAAGCTCGGCCAAACACTAACACATGTGTAAGCGCCAATCTATTATGATTATTATTATATTATGTAAGTGAATACGCACTGAATGTGTAATATTTTACTTTTGTCAGTGTGTTTGTACATATTTGAATAAAATTCAATAGATTTTTACACAAGAAAAATTTAGCTATCTATTTTTTTAAATGCATATTTTAAGAATGTTTTTGATATTATGGGGGGGGGGG